TGGGCACAAAGGTGACATTCTCATGGTGGCAGATGCTGTGACAGCTCTCAGTCTGCCAGGAAAGACTAAGGAAGGCTACTCTCCCCATTAGGTTAACATTAAAATAGTCAGCCATGTCTGAGAGGTTGAACTTGGGTCATAGGCCTGTCCTTGAACCCATCACTGATTGGCTCCCACCTGCATCATCTATTCCATGCTAGAGGTGGAGGCAGGACCCCACGCATACCCAGAAGGGGCAAAAGGTAGATCCCTCAACAGGATTATGGGATGTAGGGTGATAGGATACTGGGCATCCAGAAAGCAAACAGATCCTCTACAATACTTCAACTGATGAAGGCACAGAGCTAAAATCATAAGGATCTGGGTGTGAGTTCTGGCTCTACCATCTTCCATGTGATGTTGGGCAGTTATTTAATCTCTTTTAGCCTCAGATTTCTCACCTGTACTAACATATAAGTTTATTGTGATGAGAATCATCGTCATTGTCATCATCATCACCATCCACATTACCACTGCCACTCCTATGTTTATCTTCATCAACATCGTCACCACCACCATTATCATCACCACCACCAACATCATTACCACCACTACTATAACTATTATCATCACCCTCAGCATCATCACCATCATCACTGTTATCACCACCACCATCAACATTACTGCCGCTACCATCACAATTACCATCATTCCATCAACATCACCATTATCATTACCATTGCCATCATCACCATCATCACCAGCATTCCATCACCATCACCATTATCACCACCACTATCATGATAGTCATTATTACTACCATCACCATCACCATCACCACCACCACCACCACCATCATGACTACCCATCACTACCATCATCATCATCATTCCACCATCATCACAATGATCATCGCCACTACCATCACCATCACTATCATCATCAGTAGACATCACATAACCAGTTTGTAGCTGGGCCTTGACCCCAAAGCACACTCACTGTTTTTTCTGTCCCAGATCCATCCGCATACTTCTAACCACCATCCTCCACTGGGCTCCCACCTCCCCTGGTCTCACCTGCATGTCCGTGGAGAAAATGATTCTCAGAGTGCTAACTAGACCAAGAGGTGCCACAAAATATAACTCAAGCCTGTTCATCAATTTTCTTTCTTTCTTTCCTTCTCTTTCTCTCCTTTCTTCCTTCCCTCCTTCCTTTCTTCCTTCTTTCTTTCTTTCTTTCTTTCTTTCTCTTTCTTTCTTTCTTTCTTTCTTTCTTTCTTTCTTTCTTTCTTTCTTTCTTTCTTTCTTCTTTCTTTTCTTTCTTTCTTTCTCTTTCTTTTCTTTTCTTTCTTTCTTCTCTCTCTCTCTCTGTCATTCTCTCTGTGTCTCATATATATATATATATATATATATATATATAAAATTGTATTTTAGGTTCTGGGGTACATGAGCAGATCATGCAGGATTGTGGCATAGGTACACACATGGCAATGTGGTTTGCAGCCTCCATCCCCCCATCATTTACATCTGGCATTTCTCCCCATGTTATCCCTCCCCAACCTCCCTACCCCTGCTGTCCCTCCCCTAGTCCCCCTCAACAGAACCCAGTGTGTGCTGCTCCCCTCCCTATGTCCATGTGTTCTTGTTGTTCAACACCTGCCTATGAGTGAGAAGTTGCTGTGTTTGATTTTCTGTTTTTGTGTCAGTTTTCTGATAATGATGGTTTCCAGATTCATCCATGTCCCTAAAAAGGACACAGACTCATCGTTTTTTATGGCTGCATAGTATTCCATGGTGTATATGTGCCACATTTTCCTTGTCCAGTCTATCATCAATGGGCATTTGGGTTGGTTCCACGTCTTTGCTATTGTAAACAATCACAATGTACATACGTGTGCATGTGCCTTTATAATAGAGTGATTTATAATCCTTTAGATATATACCCAGTAGTGGGATTGCTGGGTCAAATGGAATTTCTATTTCTAGATCGTTGAGAAATCCCCACACTGTCTTCCACAATGATTGATCTAATTTACACTCCCACCAACAGTGTAAAAGTGTTCCTGTTTCTCCAAACCCTCTCCAGCATCTGTCATCTCCAGATTTTTTAATGATCACCATTCTAACTGGTGTAAGATGATATCTCAACGTGGTTTTGATTTGCATTTCTCTAATGAACAATGATGATGATCGTTTTTTCATATGTTTGTTGGCACGATATATATCTTCTTTTGAAAAGTGTCTGCTGATGTTCTTCACCCACTTTTGAATGAGTTTGTTTGTTTTTTTCTTGTAAATTTGTTTTAGTTCTTTGTAGATTCTGGATATTAGTCCTTTGTCAGATGAGTAGATTGCAAAATTTTTTTCCCATTCTGTTGATTGCTCATTCACGCTAATGATTGTTTCTTTTGCTGTACAGAAACTCTGGAGCTTAATTAGATCCCAATTGTCTATTTTGGCTTTTGTTGCCAATGCTTTTGATATTTTAGTCATGAAGTATTTGCCTATGCCTATGTCCTGAATGGTTTTGCCTAGGTTTCCTTCTAGGGTTTTTATGGTGTTAGGTCTTATGTTTAAATCTTTAATCCATCTGGAGTTAATTTTAGTGTAGGGTGTCAGGAAGGGGTCCAGCTTCTGTTTTCTGCACATTGCTAGCCAGTTATCCCAACACCATTTATTAAACAGGGAATCCTTTCCCCATTGCTTGTTTTTGTCAGGTTTGTCAAAGATCAGATGATTGTAGATGTGTGGTGTTGCTTCCGGGGCTTCTGTTCTGTTCTAATGGTCTACGTCTCTGTTTTGGTACCAGTACCATGCTGTTTTGATTACTGTACCCTTGTAGTTTTAAGTCAGGTAGTGTGATGCCTCCTGCTTTCTTCTTTTTGCTTAGAATATCTTTACCACCACCACCATCACCAGCACTATCACAATCACCATTGGTTTAACCATCAACACCTTTCTACCATCAATACCATCATCATAAACATCACATAACCAGGGCATTGCTGGGCCTTGACCCCAGAGCCCACTTACTGTTTCCTCTCTCCCACCCCATCCACACATTCTAACCAACGTCCTGCACTTGGCTTCTTGTCTCCTCTGGTCTCACCCACATGTCCGCTGAGAAAAAGATTCTCAGAACACTAACTAGACCGGGAGGAGTCACACAACACAACTCAAGCCTGTTTATCAATGTCCATTTTCGATATGTTAATAATGACATCAGATCAATGGGTGTTTTCAGTTTCTCAGAGGGAGTTGTAATTCTCCACCTCTCCCCTCCATGTTTCCAGACCTTCCCGGACTTGGATATTCCAGATGCAGAGTAGGTGTTGAGGCCGAGGGGCTCTTCCATGTAAGCCTCATCTGCAATTACCGGGCTGATCCTGCAGCCCTCTACTCAGGGGCCATTAAGGAGGGCTTCAGTCCTCAGATCACCTGTGGACCTCCTGCCTTCAGAGGTGCCATCTCTATATTGGCCACTGGATGGCAGCATGTACTCACAGACCACATCAATTTCCCTGCAGTGCCTGATGGGTTTTCCCCCTTATCAGGATGTTTGCCTTTCTCAGAGAGCAGATTCGACAGCAGTGACACCTAACTTAATTTTCAGCAAAATATTTTGAGAAGGGTGCCCCCTCACACAACTATGCAGCCCGGGCCATGCATCCCATGTCCAGTGCTTGGTAGTCAGGAGGAGCTTCCTCCATGCAACTCTGCCCTGCTAGGGCCCAGCTAGACTCTGGAGCAAGGTGCTGGGATGAGCATCTCCCATGCTGCTCTTGTAAACTCCAGATGCAGTGTCAGTTTTCTGAACCCAAAGCAATGATTAAAGTGTAGTCAAAGGCTTTGGGGAAAGGAGAGAGTGCCCCAGTTCTTGCCTGTGCCATGCTCGCAAAGCAGAGTTCTGCAAAATTCTAGTGAAAGCTGGGCTTGAAAAATTGGAAAACTGGATTGTTTGTGAGAGCACAGAAACATCCCTGAGCATGGCCATCTGGAAAAAATAGCATTTCCTCTGGCAATTTAGCAGACATTCTGTTTCAATTTGACAAAGGAAATAAAGCAGTTTTTCACAAAAGAAGAAATACAAGTAGGAGAATTGCCCTAGTTGTATTTTCTCTTCCTAATTCTCAAGGAAGCGTAAATCAGAAGATGAATCAGGACAGTTTTCACCTACTAGGTTAGCTACTATTTTAAAAATTGAATATACACCAGGGTGAAGTATTTGTTTTCTAGTACATTTTACACTGTCACACTGTTTTAGAGAATCATCTGGCAGTGTTACTGTGGGATAGAAATATGTCTATATCATTATGGAAACTTAGACTTCAGAAAGTAATAAGGAATAAGATTGAACTTTATGAACAAAGATGTGAAATGTTGGAAGCAAAAGTGGGGCCAACATGCACGAGGAGGAAGCATTTGGGCAGTGACTCCACAGACCCAGGCTCAAACTGAATCACACAACCTCCTTACGCCTCAGTTTCCTTAACTGTAGAACAGGAATGATACTAGTGCCTGCTTCACAGGACTGTTGTGAGGATTAAGTGAGATACACCACATTAAGAGCTTGTGCTGGAAAGGTTAATTCTTGGTAAATGATGACTATTCTCTTTTTTTTGCAATAAAATTACACAACATAAGAGTCACTATTCTGTTTTGAAGGGTACCGCTGAGTGGCATTCAGTATATTAACAATGGTGTGCAAATGTCACCATATTTCCAGAACATTTTCCTCATCCCAAAAGGAAATCTCATGATCATTAAGCAGTAGCTCCACATTAGAATATTAATTATGAAGATTGTAGCATTATTTTAAAAACTCATGATATACATTGATTAAAAAAACCAGTATATGAAACTGTCCATTATGATGTGAAATGTAAGGAAACAGTAAAAATCTGAAAAAAGGTATATAAAATGAATAGGAATTGCAATTCTCAGACTCTACATTGTGAAAGTCATTTTCATAGTTTTAAGAAAAACAAAAAGTACACAAACAACAACCAACCCCAAAGCACCATGACACAGCCCAGATTGTTAAACCCAGGTCTTGGGAACACAGAAACGTATATGATGTTGACTCTCTCCAGGGTCGGAGGGTCCCGCGGCATTGGGAGCTGCCTTGTGTTCTGCAGCTTCCTGGACAGACAGGAGGCCCAGCACCGCTGCTCTGTTCTTCGGGAATTTCCTCCTGAACATGTTTTGGGTGCAGTAACCATTTCTTTCATCTTTTTAAACACAGGTACCTTTGGGGCTGGCATTCTCAAGGAAGCCCGGCTCTCCGTGATTGAGAATAAAGTGTGCAATCGCTACGAGCTTCTGAATGGAAGAGTCAGATCCACCGAGCTCTGTGCTGGGGATCTGGCAGGAGGCACTGACAGTTGCCAGGTAAGAAAAGATCAAGAGACCAAACCTAATCTTGCGTCCTCCCGTCTCAGTCTCAGCCCCTTAGACTTCAGTCCCCACGTGGCAAATTCAAGAAGGATTTGTCAACTAAAGATCCCAGTCTAAGTGTTGCTCAGCAACTCCCTAGATCTGTGCCTGAACGCATATTCAGATCATCTAAGGGGAGGTCTTGGGGCTTGGGTTCCAGATCAGTAGCAAGGGAATTATAAGGTCTGTAACTACCTAAGGCCATTTGCCCTCCTGGGGTGTGCTAGTGGCTAGGGACTAAAGTGGTGACTTTTCCAGTAGGGAAGGAGGTAGAGGGCACAGGACAGAGACCAACTGCACACACTTTACAAGGATGCCCAGGCTAGCCCAGTCTAAAGGAAACCCCAACATAGGAAGAGATCATGCAGGATTCACAAGGGATATTTTTTCCCCAGGAAAAACTAAGTGGTGTGGTTTTGCTGAATGGACTTTGCTAAGTACTTAAGCACTGCAGATGCTTAAGGAATATGCGCACAAGTTCCTTTCTGATTTCAATTACTGGGAAAATGTACATATGGATGAGAGAAGGGTGGTTAAAAGGCTGGCAGCTTTACCCTTGCATGAATGTTTCCCTACCTCTGTATAGGGTGACAGTGGAGGGCCTCTGGTTTGCTTCAAGAAGGACAAATACATTTTACAAGGAGTCACTTCTTGGGGTCTTGGTTGTGCACGCCCCAATAAGCCTGGTGTCTATGTTCGTGTTTCAAGGTATGTTACTTGGATTGAAGGAATGATGAGAAATAATTAATTGGACGGGAGACAGAGTGAAGCATAAACTCACCTAGAGGCTGGAATGTGGGTAGGGATTCAGCATGCTGGAAATAATTGACAGTAACCAAACGAAGACACTGTCCCCAGCTACCAGCTTCGCCAGACCTCAGCATTTTTTGTGGTACCGTGTGTAAGCTTTTCCTGTCTAGCTGCTGGATTCTGTAATAAAGTGGCATAGCTCTGACATTTGTTAAAAATAAACTCTATACTTACTTTGAGTACATTTTGGTTTTGGTCTTCAACATTTTCATGTTCTTGGTTCACCCCACCAATTTTAAATGGGCAGACTGAGGGGTTTGACTGTTTTTGATAAGAAACAGCCACACAAAGGACTGAGAAGGCTACGAGGTCACAGACGGGAGAGCCGAGTATTCCTTGGAAGTCGTCCGCGCATTTGCCTCATCAGCTAACGAGGGCTTGACACACATTTTTACTGTCTTTACTCCTAACACTGAGATGAACGTTTTCAAAGCTGCAACATGTACGGGGAGCCATGAGAACCAGTTCTGTTATTGGAATGAAATCTGTTGCTGACTGTTGACTTGAGCCCAGAGGGGACCCAGAGCAGGGAGGTGTATATCAGGGAGTGAACCGGGCCATGAGCGTGTAACACAAGACCAGCTGAGAGTCTGAACATGTGAGTTCTGCGGCACATGTGAGTCTAGGACGGGTACCAGGAGCATGTAAATGATCAACAAGCAAATATTGAAGGTGGACCACTTATTTCCCATTGCTAATTGCCTGCCCAGTTTTTAAACAGTCTGCTGCACATTGTCACAGGAGAATGATCTGTGGCAGTGATACATGTTTAGACGGAAGAGAAAGGACAACTGTACGTTTTTTACAATTTAAAATTTTAATTGTTGCCAAATAAACATATCCACTCAAAATACAATTTAACAGTGCAGCAGTCATCTTACAGCAAAGAAATGCAGAGAAGAGCAAAACTGCAAGTGGCTGAATAAAGGATGAATGTAGTCTCAAATCCTCAGAGAGCCATGTTTATTTCGGTGACAAACAGATCATTTGTATTCAATTCTGATGTGCTTTCAGGGCTAAGATTCTCATTTTACAATTAGCACACATGCGTATACTGTGACCTGTTCTCCTTACGGAAATGTTCTTCCTCATGGTCAGTGTTTCCCTCTGGTACCAATTTTGCCTGTTCACGTAAAGTATTTTCTTTTTAAAACTCAGCATGAAGATTGGGTCTGAAAAGATAATGAATATACAAGACAAAGCAGAACACACAAGTTCCACATTTCAAAGCTTTGATAACAAAAAAGAAAAATCAAATCCCTTGTAAGTCTCCATAAAGTCATTTATAAAGCTTCTGCTGATCCTGTTAAGCATGGAAATAACTGACCTTTTCTTTTAAATTAAAACGTAAGCTTTTCTCCAAGACATGTCAAAGTGCCAAGACTGAATGGGAGCTGTCCGTGTTTTTCACTTCTGACCACACAGCCTCCATCGGAACTGAACCCACAAATGTAGGAAAAATATCCCTTCACTGTTAAAATCCTAAAACCCAGAAATCATAATCCATGGGATTTGTTTAGTAAAGAAGGGAATCTGTGGCTCTAGGTGTCCACTAAAGAAGGGCCAAAAATGTCCCAAATCATGTCAGAACCATAGCATTATTTTATAAATAACAGAGGCAAGTCCTCAGACTGTACAGCAGATTGGTTCTTATTGCTGGAATGGGGCCTAAACCATGCCTGGAACTCCAGATGCTACAGAGGAGGTGGACGGGAGAGACTCCTGACCTGTTCACATTGCGAAGGTGTTCGGGACCCAAGGTGAGCAGAGAACACGAATGCTCACACGCCGTGGCCCAAGTGCCTGTGATTCAGCCTCCTTAACAGGATTCTCAAATCTTCATCCTCCGTGCAGTCTTCAGAATGGTCAGTTAGGGGCTTAGTCCCTTGACTGATCAGATTTGATGAGCACATTTCTTTACAACTTTCTCAAATCCTTGGTTGGCACATCCCACATTCTTGATGGAGCTGTCATGAGAATCGGGTCGGGGGAGGGGCTTCTCCTGTCTCTCTTTAGCCTAATGGGTCAGACCACAGAGAACACAAGGAAAAAATCCAGGAAGGGCTGTGCACCTGACAGGTTCTTTGTTAAACTGGTTACATATTATGTGTTCCCAGAAAATTCAACAGCATTAAAAATTCTAATTCATCCAACTTTATATAAAAATACTCTGGATAGTTTGAAGTCTTTATACAGTATTACAACAGCGCGGCATAATGTAGCTGCAATGCACACGTGCGTCTCTGCAAGGCACAGCTTTGCAAGGAAGATCAGCTCCTGGATAGCTCCGGCCTTCCGTCTTTGGCAGGGGCCTTAAACGTGAGAGCTGGAAACTGGGATTTTCTTATTCCTGCCACTTTTGTAGGAATGTGGACTGAAAAAAAAAAAAAAGGAGAAATTCTTTATGAAAGACTATGCAACTAGTTAGAGGAGGGTCTTCTGTTACTATTTAACGGTATAGCTGGTTTTGATCAAAGACGCTCATGCATAACTTGTCATGAAAACCCAACTCCAAGGTAACAACACAGTCTGTCTTCAGCCTCATTTTTTATCTGCATTCAGACCCTAGACAGGGGTTAGTTAACATTATAGCATTTAAGTTCTTTATGAATTGCTACTGAATTAACATATGTTTGGAAATGAGCTGTTAACATGAACAAAACCCAGCAGAAATGGTAAAATAATCCAGTGTGATTTTAGAAGAGAAATGCTAACAGGTTTTGGTACTTTAGCACTAAGTGATTTTTGTAGAGTAAATAATCATGGATCACAATTAATGTGCTTAATTTGTAACACTGTAAACCATACTTCTACTAGTTTTTTTTCACGTGTAGAGACTAGGTATAATTAATTAATTTAGCACACTTTGCATTATGAAAAATTATAAACAGAAAAAATTAGGAAGAATCTGTGTAACTTAAATTTTTGCTGGTATAATTCTTCATGCTTATATGTTAGTTGGGTATTGATTTTCCTTACACACCATTTAGACAACACCCCCTCCACCCACACTCCCCAAGCCAAAAAAAAAAAAAAAAAGAAAAATCTCTTCCAGGTGTCTATTTTTAATGTGACTGAAGTGGTAGAAGAGTCTTGGCTTCAAAGGGTTTCCTTTTCTCCCATTATTTCCTGATGAGTTTGCAAAACTGACCCCTGATTGGTTTGGGGATCAAGAATGAATGCATCACTCTCACTGTGTAAACAGACAGCATGTTATAGTATTTATACTATAACATGTATAGTGTTATACAGTCAATGGAATAGAATCAAAGGGAAGAAAGCTCTTCCCCAGTATTTTTGATATATCAAAAATATTTAGAGCTCCATATCCTTAATTCCTAGGTCATTATTAAGTTTGCTTTTTTAGTTTTTAAATTAGCTTCTAAATCATTTTTTAAAACTACACAAACAACGCAAGACTATGTGTTCTAATTTTTCTAAAAAATCAAACAGTACAGAAGTCTTTGGCAAGAAAGTGATGGCCCTCCCTTCCCTGCCTCTCTTACAAGCCCATTTGTGTTCACAGACAACTTATATTATTATTTCACATCTTTTACTATACATTCTCATATTCATAGTCTCTATATTTTTAATTAAAAAATTTCAAACAAAATTAGAAAGAATACGTGTAATGTGAATTTTTTGTGATATAACGCCTCGTGTTAATATATTGGCTAGATATTAGCTTTCCCTATACACTATTTAGATACCACCCCCTTCTAAAACTCAATCTCTTTCTCTTTTCTCTATCTTCCTGCTAATGTGTATTATTTATCTATAATCTATTATCTATCCACCTATCTATGCAGACATTATCTATCATCTATTATTTATCATCTATCTATGATTATCAACTAGTATATCTATCTACTATCATCCATCTACCTATTATCTATCATCTGTGTACCACCTGTCTTCCCATCCAGCTACAGGGAGACATTGCCTTTGGTTTCATTTTTTTATAAATACTATAACATGTTGTTCAGTGAATTTTCACTTTGTAATCAATCTTGAGAAGCTGCTTATGCCATTCCATCTAGTCAGACCTGACTCCTCCTCACTCTGTAGAGTAAGCCACACTGCTAATCCCCTGCTACTGCATGTCCCAGTGATTTCCACTTTTCCACTTCATCAGTTCCTTCTTTTAGATCACTTCTGACTCTTACGACCCTACATGGAAGTGCTTCTCTCTTCACAAGCACGTTTAAAAAATAATGCCTATTCTTACATAGCTTTGGAGTTTTTTTTTTTTTTTTACATTAACCTTTTTTTTTTTTTTTGAATTTTTTTGCTTATGAGATGAGGATTTATTCTTATTTTTTCCCTATGGATATTCAATTTTCTCTACATCATTTGTTCACCAGTGGTTTGAAATGTTGCTTTAATTTAGGGAGCATGAATTTTGGACAGTACCTGCCAAGTTTTTCCACATCATCCACTGTCTCTGGCAGGGCAATACCCTTGGTTTCAGGCAAAAGCATCACAAGGCCACCACAGATGGATGCCAGGATACCTATGGAATAGGGGAAACATGTTACCACCCCAGGAAGACACAGCTGGGCCCTCTCCCATGGGCCTACTCACTCTAAAGCTGCCATGTTGCTCACTGGAGTAGCTCTCAGCCACAGCAACCTCTGCATCCCAGGTGCCCCGACTTTACCACAATTTGAAATATCCTCACCCTTCCTCAAACTCTGAGCAGCACCAAGGCCCCTGTACACCTGGCAGCCATGAGTTTACTCTCACATCTCACAGTGATTGAATGCCTTCTCAGGGTCCAACACCCAAGGCCTCCCCTCCTGCATCGCAGGGAAACAGAGGTGCTGGAGGGAAGGCCCCTCCGCGCCTGCTCACTGACACTATCACTTACCTGCTCCTCTCCCTCCCACTCCTCCTGTCACCTTACAGTGAAGACTTGTCCTGGTGTCTGCCCCAGGACCAGCCTTCACCTAGGCCCGTCTCTTTGGGCTCCTCACTGTAGGTATCAACCCTTTCTCCAGTATCTTCAACCTATTGGGAGAAGCTTTCAGATACATTCAGATCTTTTCTTTTTTTTTTTTTTTTTGGGACGGAGTTTCGCT